AGAATTTGGAGAAGCCATAGAGAGTCTTGAGAACAAAGCCTCAGAATTTGGGGAGTTAGATCCACTTGATTCAAGTCCTAGCTATGCAACTTATTGTCTAGAGAATCCTGGGCCTTTCATTTCTTCTTCTATCTAAGCGAAGGGACTACTGTGAGAATCAAATAGCAAAGTAGGGTAACCAAAGAAAATGGAGTTTGGAGGCTGTCTTTAGTCTTTTGCTGCTCCACAGTGACACCTTAAACAGTTAACTACCTGTAAAGTAGGAAAATACCCTTGACTCCTATGAACTGTGGCTCAGTGGCAGCCAGCTTGCCTAGCAGGTACAAGGCCCTGGGGTTGATCTCCAGCACCAATAGATAAATAAATAAATAAATGCAACTCTTAGGTATAACTGCTTGTTTAGTTAGTTAGTTGATGCTAGAGATTGAACCCAAGACTTCAAGCATGTTAGGCAAGTGAAAATTGGGCATAATATTATTAATATATGCCTTGTGGATTTGGAAAGAGGCTTAAGTAAAGTGTTTAGCTTGGTACCTGGCACCTGGTAAGAACTCTATAAATGTTAATTATTACCAGTATCGATTATTTTTATTTCCTTTCCCTTCCCTGGTGTCTGTAAGATCTTTAGCTCTTTTCTAGGTTTAAAAAATAAAAAAATAAAAAGCCTGATTTGAGGCTGCAAGAATGAATCTCTCAACAGGGTTGCCTGAGGTCTCTGTGGGCCTGGAGCCCTAGGCTGGATCCTTCACGGGCCTCCTCATTCCCAGCCTCCAGACTCTGGCTCTGCCTTTTCCAAGGGGCCCAGAGGCCTAGGGAGACCCCATTTTGGAGCTGTGGCTTTGTGGTCAGGCGGCAGCCATAATCTGTCCCTGGAGCCACAACCAGAGCCTCATTAAAACATGCCCATAAATGTTAAAAAATTTACACATAAAAAAATTCCATGCATGAAACTGAAACCGTACGTTTTACAGCTTTAGTTTGAAATCTTGCATAATATATAAAACCTTGGCCCTGCACCAAGGGCCCATAAATCAGATTTTATAAAACAAAAAGCTTTTACCTTTCAAAGGGGTTTGGGGAACTTGCAAATTTTACAAACTTAACCAACTGCCAGTCAGAGGCTGCTGGGTCCAAGGAGGGGATCTGGGGGCCAGGTGAGAAAGGTCTGGAGAGTGCTGGGAGGGGAGGAATTGGGGTTGACCTTTTTCTGGGGAACCCCCCACTGGGAAATTCCAGCTTAGTCACCAGGAGGGTGGAAAGCTGCCACAGATGGTGTGGAAATGGGGAGGTAAAAAGGGTGAGAGTTTGGGAACCCAGGGAAGATATTGGTGGCATTAGTTTGTTTCCAAGTGAGAGTTTTATTGCCACCGGGGGAGAAAGGAGGGGGAGCCACTGCAGAAGGAGCACAAATCAGGTTCGGGTCCTGACAAGCCACATCCCTTCTGTAGATCTTGTGGCTGTCCAAATCCTAAGCAGTTAAAGGTGGAGTGGAGTGTGGGGCAAGGGCGGGGAGCCTGGAAGTTGGGGCAGGTAGTAGACTTGCTTCTCTGCATCTCATGATTCCATATTCTACCCTGTAGGGGAGCTGTGACGTAGCAGAGGGAGGGATTGATTGTCCCTCAGAAATCCACCCCTGAGGGCCCCCCCCCCCATCTCTAGGGAAGTCTGGGAGCGCTGACTCAGCTGTTCTCATGGGGATTTGTCTGGAAAAGCAGCTCTGGGACCCTATGGGGAGCCTGGGAGTGTATGACTGGGTGGGGCTAAGTGGGTGGGAGAAAGCAGGGCAGGGGCAGAGAGGAGCTGAGAGGCCAGGATCTGGGTATGGGGAGGGGATCTTGAGAGAATCACAGTTTAGGAGAACCGGAGTGCCCTCCTGACAATCCCATCTATGAAAGTCAATATTCAAGGGCAAAGGAAAGCCACCCTGACACACACATATATAAAAAATAAATCTCTCAATTATCTCAGCTCATTTGCTTGGGGTCCCTCATTTTATGTCCCTGCTCGGCTGCGCAGTATATCTGTCCGGAGAAAGAGTTACAGTCCGTTAGGCTACGTGTGCGGGGTTGTAAAAAATACAGATGCCAAATTAACTGGCTGTGGCACTCGGCAGCTGATTGAGCTGGTAATAACGTGATCTGACCTTTTTCTAATTTCTAATTACGTGCATCTCGGTTGTGCTGGCGACATGATTCTTGTTCTAATGATGATTCCTGTGCCATCATCTCCCCTGCCCCACACAGGACCAGGGGCAGGGGTGGCAGAGGGCATTGATTTCCCTAGGCCCTTCCTCCCTCCAAAAGTTTCAGAGTCCTGGCCACATCTTTCTAGTGGCTAGGAGATGATGTCAGAGAGTAGGAACACCTTGCATTTGAGATTAATCCTCAGATGCAAGGTATTTTTAAAGGCCAATTCCATAAGCCAGCTCATGGATTAATTTTTATGACCATATGAAATGGGTGCGTTATCTCTGCAGATGAGGAAACTGAGCTTCAAGGGACTCCCATCCATTACAGTCACACAGATAATAAAAGATGACCCTAGGTTCAGGTCTTTTTGTCTCTAGGTCTTGTTCACATTTTCTATTTGCCCAATCAATCAATCAATCAATCAATCAATAATCTTTAACTTGTTAATTCATTTAGCTAACTTAGTTTGGAAAATCTGGTCTATATGAACAGATAGATGGTCCAAAGATTACTCTATCAGCTGGACCATTCCTAGGCCCATCACCTGAGACAGGACCAGGGGACACTAGATACTTGAGGCCACTGAAGTTTCCATAACGTCTATGTCCCCAGGTCAGGCCTACCACATGGTAGACACCAACCCAGTCTCATTAGATTGAATGGAGAAATCTGGTTACTTAAGTGATCAGAACCCTGAGACACCTGGGCAGGGCTGGCAAGAAAGAACATGGAGCTGGACTCTTGTTTTTCTTTCAAGCTGTGCTGGAATGGGAAATTGGCTCCAGTGGGTCTTCCACAGCTCATATGGTACGTGAGGGTAGGCAGGGCAGGTGAGGTTTGGTCCCCAAGCATTCCCACCTCTTAAAGTTTAAATTCCTTCACAGGATTAGGTCTAATTTTAGATCTTCCCTTACCAACATAGGTCTCAGTTTCTTTCTGTGTCAAGTAGAGCCCTAGCCCTTAGGTCTATTCCAGCTCCTGCATAAACAGCTGCTTCATTTTCGTGGCTGCCTGAATCTGGGTTTCTGAGAATCTGCTTCCTAACTTGTCTGATTCTGATTAGCCAAACAGCAGGGCAAGGCCAGACCTGCCTGCCCTTCACAATAACCAACTGGAGAATCTGCTTTCCTAAGGAATTCCAGAGATGGTGGGCTGACCACTTGGGCAGTGGTGGGTTGTTCAATCCCTGTTGGGGAAAAGGAGACGCCAGGGCCAAGCAGTGGTAGATTTGAGGGTGTTAATGCCTTTGCTAACACTCCTGACAGCCAGCCAGTGTTCACCCTCTGCCTGAGGCCTGCCCTGCTCTCTACATGATGGCCCCATCATAGCCCTTCACAAATTTCCGGGCCACATGAGCTTTCCTAGTCACTCGCTTTTGGACTCCATAAAGTACCACATTTGATGCTGAGAGAAGCAGTGGTGTGGATAATTCACTGCCCAGAATAATACCAAAGTCATTTACATCTGTTCTGCAGATGCATCCTCTGTGTGTGTGTGTGTGTGTGTGTGTGTGTGTGAGTGTGTGTGAGAGAGAGAGAGAGAGAGAGAGAGTTCTATTTTTCTTTTTTCCTTCTTCCAGCCACATTTGCTTTTCTCATTCTGTTCTCCTTTGGGGAGCAGCTACTGCCTAAAATTCTGGGTGGAAGAGGTCAGCATCATCATCAATCAGTGTGTGAAAGAGTTTTGCAGAGTTTCCAAATTTACCGTGCATAATCTGGGCAATCCATCCCCACTAAAATCAGGAGCTGTGGTTAATAATTCCAGGAGGACTAATCAAGGTTCACAGAACAGCCATTCTAACACTTTCCCACCACGGAATTCCCAGGGGGTAAGACTAGGGTGTGCTCCAAGTTGTACAGCACTTGCCTAGCAAAACACAAAGCCCTAAGTTCAAATCCTAGCATTGCAATAACAGCAACAAAGAAGTCGCTGGTCTAGATGAGAACTTTCAGATTCTATATAACCTAAAGATCACCAAATCTAACTAAAGATGGAAGTTTCCCCAGGAGAAGGAAATTGCACCCTGAATTGAATCACAATTCTTTGGTGTGGTCAGGGACTGTCTTTTTTTTTTTTCCGAGTCCTGGGACTTGAACTCAGGGCCTGTGAACTGCCCCTGAGCTTCTTTTGCTCAAGGCTAGTGCTCTATTACTTGACCACAGTGCCATTTTTGGCTTTTTCTGGGTAGTTTATCGGAGATAAGAATCTCACTGACTTTTTTTGCCAGGACTAGCTTTGAACTGCAATCCTTAAATCTCAGCCTTCCGAGAAGCTAGGATTACAGACGTGAGCCACTAGCGCTTAACTGAGACTGTGTCTTTTAAGTTATAGAGATGATCAGAGTGACAAATAGTTTGGGAGTCTAATCCACTGTGCCACCTCTGCTGGACCTCCTAGCATGACTGTGTCTCCAGATCTGTCCTATCATGTTTAGCAGTGCCTGTTATCCAACCCTCTGCACCACAGCCCATCTCCACCATCTTCTCCATGAACAGTCCCAGACTCAGAACAGCTGCCTTCTACCCTCTGGCTGCTGGGCCATCCTTTCCTCTTGCCTGTACTGCAAGCTGGGGAGTAGTCAGATGCTTGGTCCATGGTGAGCAAAGGTGGGAAGAACGAGGGCAGCAAACACCTGAGCCTAGAAGGCCTGGTTTTAGAACTTGGATTTGTTTCTTAGCTGTAGAATGCTTCACAACTCCGAAGTTTTCACTGAATAAAGTAATGAAGGAAACATTTCTAGGGTGTTTTTAAGGGGGAGATGAGCAGAGGTTAGGGAGGTTCTAGACAGGGGTCGGGGTGAAGGGTCTTTACCAGATTGTCCAGTTCTGGGTCATCACTGAAGAAGGGTTTGTGCTCCTGTTCCTGCTGGTGGACAAAGTTCTCGATGTCCACGTCAAAGCTGGCGGAGGTGATGCACTCAGAGCCCTGGGTGGCCTGTTCACATTTCTCAAACAGCAGCGTCAGGAGCGGGAAGAGAGGGTGCCTGCGGGGACATCAAGAGCTCACACATGCGCACACACAGAGACCGTACTGCTGGCTGGACTATGATGTTTCCTTCCCATATCCCCATGCCTACTTCCCTCAACATCCCGCTCTCTCCCCAATTCCTAGGGTGAGCCTCGTCGGTATTATTTCCTTTCTTGGCCTCCTTCAGTTGGCTCCTACCTTTTCTCTTTGGTCAGACAGCCAATGATGTTTGGAGAGGTTCTTTCCCTTCAAAGAAGTAGGAATCCCTTCCTTCCTCCCTTTCTTTCTTTCTGTCTGTCTGCCTTTCTTTCTTTCTTTCTCTCTCTCCTTCCCTTCCTTCCTTCCTTCCTTCCTTCCTTCCTTCCTTCCTTTCTTTCTTTCTTTCTTTCTTTCTTTCTTTCTTTCTTTCTTTCTCTCATGTTGTCAGTTGTGGGGACTGAACTCTGGGCCTGGGTACTGTCCCTCAGCTCTTCAGCTCAAGGCTAGTGCTCTACTACTTGAGCCACAGCGCCACTTCCAGTTTTTCTGCTTATGTGGTGCTGAGGAATTGAACCTTCATCCATTCAAGGCAAGCACTCTACACTGAGGCCACCTTCCCAGCCCAAGAATCCATTTCTTTTTCTTTGTTGTCATGGGGCTTGAACTTGGGGCTTAGGTGCTGTCCCTGAGCTCTTTTGCTCAAGGCTAGCACTCTTCCACTTTGAGCTACAGCACCACTATGGGTTGTCTGGTGGTTAATTGGAGATAAGAGTCTTATGGACTGAGGTAAGTACTTTGGCTCAGATATATACATCATAAAACCACACACTCACACACACATACTGTCTGGAGCCAGCTAAGGGCAGCAGATGTGCATAGAAACTTGTGCATTGGCAAGTGTATGCAAGGGTAAAATGCACAAGCTCAAACATTCATGGACACATCATGGGTGGATGCCTCCACTTGTCCTGTGTCTATAGGCAGACTCAGTTTAGATCAGGCATATCAATGACAAGCATCACATTTTCCATCACCAAATCTTAGCACAGCTGTAATTTGCATCATTATTTGTTCACTGTTTTCCTCCAAGACATTCTCTCAATTTATGATTGTTGTAACCCTAGAATCTTACTTTATAAACTCATACCAGGTGTTCAATCAATATTCGACGGCCAATTGACTAAGCCAATGAATGGAGTATATGCATGTGTGTGCACATGTGTGTGTACATGTGCACATGTTCCTGTGATATGGCTCTATGAGTCTTAACATAAAGCACACCACCATCTGGAAGCTTCTCAGAATGCCTTCCACCTCCAAATGTAAGCCGTTCATCCTTGAGTTGTCTGTTTTGTCATCTGCCTTCTTTTCTAGATTGAGAAGGAATTAAACCCACCTCAGTCATCCAAGATTCCAGAAGAGGCCTATGGACCCCCATGAAATTTGTTGGATACATACACTGCATATATGCATACTTATTTACATGTACAAATGGATATCAGATTTCTTTCTATAGCATGTGCTCAGATGTGTTCTTGGGTTGTTGGTCCTAAGGTCAGGAAAGCCCCAGTCTATTCTCCCATGACTCAAAAAAAACCTGCATATCTGTCTCTGGTCTGTCTCCGTAGACTCCTGGGACCACAAAGTCTTGATTTTTTTCTTTTCTATGAGGTGCTCTTTGTAGGGAGAGGAGAAATGTATGCGGGGCCTGGTCCCTGGGCTCTGGTCTGAGGGATGATCTGGCCAGCCCTGTCCATAGGACTTTCTGCAATGATGGAAAGTGCTCTGAAATCTACACTGTCCAATACAGTAACCACTAGCCACGTGAGGCCAATGAACACTTGAAATATGGCTACTGCAACTCAGACATTGAATTTTTAATTGTATTGCATTTTAATTAATTTTATTCTAAGTAGCAACATGTGGCTAGAGGCTAAAGACTGAAGACCAGAGGAAAAAGAGGAAAAAAGGAAAAAGAGGCCATGCTTTCTCCCTGCATGCACACTGACATGCCACCGTGCTTGCAGTGTTGGTTACTAGGGGTGGGGGTGGGCCCCTAGGTGCCTGTCTCATTCTAGAATTCCAACAGTTCTTAGCAAAAAAAAGCACTCAGGAGGCCTGGTGCCAGTGGCCTGTGCCTGGGATCTTAGCTACTCAGGAAACTGAGATCTGAGGATCTCAGATCGAAGCTAGCCCAGGCAGACTCCAATTAATCACCCAAAGCCAGAAGTGGACGCTCCAGTAGTGGCTCAAGTGGTAGAACTCAGCTTTGAGTAAAATCAACAACGCTAGTGGCTCACACTCAGGAGACTGAGATCTAAGGTTCACGGTTCAAAGCCAGCCCGGGCAGGAAAGTCTGTGAGACTCTTATCTCCAATTAACCACTAGAAAACCAGAAGTGGTGTTGTGTCCCAAGTGGTAGAGCACTAGCCTTGAGCTGAAGAGCCAAGGGACAGCCCCAGGCCCAGAGTTCAAGCCCACAACTGACAAAAAACAAACAGCAACAAAAAACAAACACATAGGAACAGTGTCTGGGCCCTGAGTTCAAGTTCCAGTACTGCCCTCCCCATCACAAAAGACACTCAGAGCTTACCCCTATTCCTACCTCACCCACATTCATATTAGACACCCACCTTCCTCCTCAGCCTTAGGGTGAGTAGGGGTGAGAAGAGATGAAGGGAGATAAATCCTGCTTTGAATGAGCTGTGGGAATATGTAGGAGGCACTTTCTCCCTGACTGGCCCTGGTTTTGGGAGCTGATTCATAAATTCCTGGGCCCCAAGACTGTAGCAGGCTGAGTGTCTTCTCTGCAGCAAAGAGGGTCAACATTTAAGGGTGGCTCATCTGCAAATGGGCAGAAGATCTATTGAGCTCTGGCAAAGCAAAACAATGGGTGAGTTCAGCCATCTGGCTGAAGACAAAGAGAGTACCGGGTGAAGGGGTTAAATTCCAGTGTAAGTCTTCATTTGCAGCCAGTAATACTGCAGCATATTATAGTCTAATCTAACCTGATCCCAGTTTAATGCAAGATTCTCCTGGCCCTGAGTGGAATACCAAAGAAAGCCTCAGTGGCTGTAATTTAAGCAGAGCCCTGCAGTGGTTTAGCTGAGGGCCATGAAAGGCAAATTCCAGACGGTGTTATGAATTATTGCGCCTTATGAACCTTCCTACTCTCAACAGATGCCTGCTGCCATTTAAACAGCCACTAGATCAATTAGGAATGAAAGGCACAAATCGACTCTGTACAAGGGCACTAAATTACCAGGAACTAATAATCCGCAGCATTGTGCCAGGTGGTGGGGGTACAGGCCCCCCGCCCCAACCCACGGCAGCCACGGTCACCGCACAATTCCTTTCTCAATGGCGGGAAGGAGGGTGGGCAGCTGCTACAGAGGAAATGGTGTGTGTGTGTGTGTGTGTGTGTGTGTGTGTGTGTGTGTGTGTGTGTAAATGCAGATGTGTGCACTGGAGTTGAATGCAGGCTGTTGACAGAGCAGGGGTGTAAGGGTTGTGTGGTGTCCCATGTCTTTTTCATTGTGTGCACGCAACATTGTGTAGATCCACTATGTACACGCATATGCATATAGGGCTGCGTGCATGCAGTTGGATTTAGGGCAGATTTGGGGTACCACGAAGATGGTGTGTGGATGGCTCTGCCCTACTGTATGCAGTATATATGTGGAGCTATGTGGTCTGTGTACACAGTATGGGTAACAAGTAGGGTGCTCAGGTGGGGCCTGCAGGGATTGAGTCTCCCCAGCTCAGAGCACTAGAATCAGAGAGAAGAGAGTGTCTCCTCTGCTTATTGCCTCGTCCCTGAAGAGGGGAGCAGCTTCTGTCGAAGTGGTCACAGAGGGTCTCTCTGAGGAAGTGACATTTAAGTCAAGCTTTACATGGTAAGAAGAAAAGACATGCAAAGTGCAGGGGGTAAAGCGAAGCCCTGAGATGGGGGTGAGCTTGGCAGGCTTTGGGTACAAAAATGAGCTGGGTGTGTTGGAGTGAGGAGGGTAGGAGGGGTTGGAGGAGATGAGGTTGAAGAGGCTCTCAGGCAGAGCGGGGCCTGTGGGGTTGGGGTGGAAGACATCGTCATACACCCTTGGGACAATGTTCACCTCTTGTGCACAGCTACCTGGGTCTATTTTATAATTCTCAGGTGTCATATCTCCCAGGGGCCAAATATGGACCTTTTCTGGTTCTGTGTCAGTATTGGGCTTGAATTCAGCATTTTGAGCTCTCAGATGGCTTTTGCATTGAAGGTAGTGCTCTACCGCTTGAGTCATACCTTCACTTCCAGCTTTTCGCTGGTTTATTGGAGATAAAGAGTTCCATGTACCTTTCTGACTGGGCTGGCTTTGAATTGCAGTCCTCAGATCTCAGCCTCCTGAATAGCTAGGATTACAGGTGTGAGACCTGTAGCACCTGCCACATATTTGAGTCTTGTTTTATGATACTGAGGATGGAACACAGAGACTTCACATGCTTAGGCAAGTACTGTACCACTAAGCTGTACCTCAACACTCTCTTGGTATATTTGCTATGACTTATGGATTATTCTGGAAAAGAGAAACTGCCACCTGTCCTTCTCCCTAAGTTGACTAAGGGGCCATGGAGCACGGGGTGGCCTTCATGGGGCTGGCCTGATGCCCTCTTCCTCACCTGACCACTGGGGGCAGTCAGGAAGGAAGGGCGTGAGCAGTGCCGTCAGCACCCCAATCCTTTCTCCTCATTCCCCACTCTTCCTAGGTTCCTGCAACTGGTTACTTTCACTGACACCAGATGACTGCTGAGTTTATCAACAACCTTTCACATGAACTATACCAGGCCATGGTAGCTGCCTGTGGCTTGCACTCAGTCCTGGATCACGGCTACCTGCTTAGCTGCCATCTTGGGAGTGGACGCTGCTGGACTCTGGGGCCGCAGATGTTGGCCCAGTGCCTAGTGCTTAGCTCCTTTTCCGGCTGCCCAGCCTGTTCTTGGGCTAAGAGTTACCTTCCCTGCCCCTCACCCCACAAAGTAGATAAGAAACCAGCAGCCCGC